GCATGGTCAAGTGCAGGATGTAGCCGAAAGAGGGATAGCCAGCCTGCCCGTGCAGCTGGATGCAGTTGGTGACAGTGGTGATGGAGAGAAAGGCTTCATTGCCATCCCAGCAGAGAGGCGGGAGTAACTGTGAGTCGGAGTGTCGTGTGGTTTGTGATTAGATGGGTTTTTGAGGTGGTCAGTGTTTAAGCTGTGTACTGAAAGGTCTGCTCAGACAATTAGTTTCAATAGTTAATGTTGATTTTAATAAGATCTCAAGTTAACAATCAGCTCTTTCCTGGACTTTATATCCCACTCACAAGTCTTAATTTATTTCAAAGTTTAGCAGAACTCAGCAGTCACATGTTTGACTGATGTTTGATCCTTTGAATCAATTCAAGCATACTCAAATATTTTAAACTGCCTTTAAACATGTAATATATCCCATTTCCTTTTTAAGTGTCTGATTTATCTGCTTTTATAAAATCTTCCTGATTCCTTAATGATTTTTATACAACTGGTTAACTGTCTTTATAGAGTGGTCTTAAAAAGCCTCTTAAATGTTAAAATAGTGTGCATAACTTAGAATGATTCCAGCTTGAAATTAGTATTCTGATAGTTCAGTTACTCATCATTTTGAATTGGTTTTCAGAAATCATTATGCTCAGAGATCAAACTCCTTCACTATTAGTGTTAGGTTTGAAATCCAGATAAAGTTTCTTGTACACAGCTAATTTCCTACAGCCAAGTCCTCTCTTTACCATTAGTTTGCTGTGAGCCAAAGTATCAGGCACGATGAGGTACTAGGAGGTTCTTTATTCCAGCAGGGTAGCAGGGGTGGAGAGGGAGAAAACTGGGAGGGACATGTCTCCTGCCTTAGTGGCAGGATGGGCAGCTGCCAGGGCAGGGGATGGGGCAAGAAGAAGGATGGGGGAGAGCCAGGTAAAAAGGGAAGAGGAAGGAGAAGGCAAGGGGCACATGCGGAGGCTCATTTATACAACCCAGGTGAGCCTGCTAGTTGTGGGGAGCCTAGGGAATTGGTTGGGAGGAGGGGCTGTGGGCGGGCCCCAATGGCCTGGTGATTGAGATTATCTGAGCCACAGGTAGGTGGGTGGGGACCAGGGAGAGGGACTGGAGAGATGGGGTGTGAGGTTTTCAGGTAAGACGCCATGAGATTACACCTCATTGGTGGATAACCTCAAAGGTTTGATTTTCACAGGCAGTGGGAAAGGGAAGCAGGAAGCTGCGCCAGGTTCAAGATGGGAGGTTCGAATCACTCTTCACAACTAGTAGGACAGAAAAGATGCAAGTATATATAAAAATATTAATAAAATGACTTTGATACTTTAAACTTTTCTATATTAAATTTTTCGAACTTCCCAGACTTGCATGATGCATCCTTACCAAGGAAGAAAACTACTTGATAATAACTGAGGCTATTTTCAACCAGATATTTTGACAGAGCTGTAGGCATCCAAAGCAGTTGACATCCTCCTGTCATGCTGAATCTGATTTTAGAGGTGCTCACGTTTCATGAGTCAAACAACAAGGACTTAGTTTTATGGCTCCTGTCACCTACATCCCTAAGTGCAGTTCATACACAGGGCCTGATTCTCCGACTACACAAGGAGATCTTGGATCTTTAAGAGAGGTACATGAATTTTCTATCTATATGTTAAAAGACCTTTTAAATTTGAGAGAGTTCTGAGATTTGCAAATATTTTTGTTTTTAGAACTCTCTTTTTAAGGACAACTTTATTTGAGAAGTAGAGCAAGAGAGGAATAGAAAACAGACAAAAATCATCCATTGGTTCACTGCCCAGTTACCCACAATACCTGGGGTAGACCATGCTGATGCTAGGAGTCCTGGACTTGATCTGGGTATCACCTGGGAGTGGTGAAGACCCAGTTCTTCAGTGACCATGTCCCAGAATACACATTATCAGAAAACTCAAACTCAGATAGTCATATATGGACTGTAAGTGTTCCAGTGACACAGCGATTGCTGTGCCAAAGGCCTGTACCTGTAAGATTTTTTCTATCTAATGATACCTTTGAACTTGATAGTCCCAAAATGAAATACATTCTCTATTTAATGATAATGGCCTTTGACTGGGATACTAGATAAGGATGTGTTTTTTCCTGAAGAACATTGAAGTTGATACAATCAAGCATTCTTTCATATACCTAGGACAACACAGTGGTTCCAAATGTTTAAATGATCTCAAGTTGGGTGGATCCCCTGGCCTTAACCAAGCCAAGTCTGACTTGCCGCACAATATGCCTCATTCTTCTGAGAGTTTATGAAGAGGTGCAGGAAGCTGAGAGAGTTCTCATATGATGACTTTTTCTGTGAATTAGGATATGAATTCTGTTAAGAGGTATGGGGGATATATGGAGAGAAAGTGAGAAAAGAGCTGTAAGATAGCTAAATTTTAAAATGAGTGATCTAGATTGATGTAGGCTGCCTTTTTTGAGCCTCCTAAGTATGTGACATTAAGGCCATTCTAAATGAAGATAATGTGCCTACTGAGATGTGTTTGTCATTTTTATTTATCCTTTAGTTAATATGCTTTTATATTAAATGTGTGCTTTAAGATATTTGAGTGTTTACCTTCAATAACACATTCTTGGTAGCTGATCAAAAAGTCACAACTCAGTGTCAAATGATTTTATTAATAAAGCAATTGGAGGAGTCATTTATTATACATCAGAAGGCTCTAAACTCATTTAACATTTATTTCCATTTGCTAGTCAATTACCAGCTGTCAGAACCCATTAAATATTGTAAATTTGAGTCAGGAGCTGTCACTCCTAAGTGTATTAACTCTTCCTAATCATAGATAGTGATTTGTCCTGTGAAAGGGTGATATTAATCACTTACTTCCATCTGTCTTCCTGGTGTTATAAAATTGCCATTGGGTTCCATTGCTGAAGTGAAGAAAATCAATGTAGACACCAAAAATGAAAGCAGACAGTCATGAGTCATGAATCTTTCCATTCATGTTAACAAGTTTCTCATCATTTCCAGATGGAGAGGGAAAAAAAATGACAATTCCCAGCATGTTTCATTTCTTAGTCTCAAAAATGAAATTTCTTCTTATTAGCCAACACTTATTTTGTACCAGTATTTATTTTGTATTTTGTACCACAACTCCATGTGAATGATTTTTTAAATCTTTACAGTAACCCTGTGAAGTTATTCATTCTAAAATCCTTACATTACAATATCTCATATTTTATAATGAAAAAATAGACTTGGGTAACTAGTTGCTAGAAATGACAAAACAAAGTCAAGCCCAGATCATTTAATTGTAGACTTTGTCGCTTAACTATGCACTGATGTTTGGTATTTGTTATTTAATTGGTGAATCAGGAATGCATTTGGATGCAAGTGACTAAAATCCAATATATTGTAGTTTACAGAGTAGCTTTTTTCCCCCTCACCTAATAAAAAGCATGGAGAGGGGCAACCACTCATACTGGTTTAATTGTTCAGGAATGCCAGGACAAGTGACTGATTCATTGGCCCAATGGCAGCCAAAATGATTTCTTCAGTTTCAAGTGTCGTACCCACTTTCAAGTCAGAAAAAAGGAAGAATTGGCCCTAGCCATAGCTGCTTAATTTATCATGAAAGTGATTTAACTTTCCTGTTCATTCTTGTGTATCTTATTGATCAAAAAAGTCTTGCATGGGCACCCTTATCTGCAGGAGTGGAAGGAAGTTAAGGGTGACTGTGGGCCATCCTTGGGTCAAAAATAATAGGATCTACAAGCTGTATAGGAATTTTTCACTTCCTCTCTAACTTGCCTCCCCTCCTTCCTGTCTTCCCTTCCATCTTTCTCCTCCAGTTTTTATTCAGTGAAAATGCTATGCTTCTTCAGAGTTGAAGTCTATATGTATCTGTTCTTGCCTTGTTTTTAATTCTGAAGAGTCAGACAGTACTGTGGTTCCACTAACTGAGCCAGCAGGCCTCATTGGTTGCAAGTAACAGAAACAAATGTACATGCAACTGAGAAAAATGAATGAGTATCTGTACTTTATGCAACAGGGGTTAAGCACTTTTTGCATTCCAGGCACTCTTCTAGGGTCTGGGATGGATCAGTAAACAAAACACCTTTTAAGAAAAGAGTGAGCCAGATTATATGGAAATCTTATAGGGCCCTTGTGGGAGAGGGGTGGAAACCAGGGTCTGGGAAGCTCTCTGGGATATAACCCTTCTAGTGGTCATGTCTGCTTCATTCTGTTCACTCTGGGCTGCTGAATGCTCAGTGGATTGGGTGCTTGGACTATCTTTACTTCATGTAGCCTGACTTTTCTATTCAAGCAGACAGTTCTTGCCAAGCCACAGCTTCTCAATCCTGATGTCAAATACCTAAGCACAAGGATTGCCATCTACCAAGGCAAGGGACAGCCTACCACTTGGGAGAGAGATATAGTTTATGGGGGTCATTGCTAGTGGAATGGACACCTCACATCAGTGTGATCCCCACTGTGAAGCTTTCCCTGACTGCTCCTACTTTGCCTACCGTCCATGCCGAAGCATCACCTGCCATTGTTCAAATTTGACAGCTAATCCTGTCTTGAAAGCTGCATTTGTCTAGCACTGTGCAAGCTGCCCAGGTCAAGGTTGTCTCCTATGTTTTCAGACTACTCTTGTGTGCTCTGTTGTCTGTATCTCCCAATTTACCCAGCTCTGTACACGCAGCTCCCATCCCTGACATACAGAAAATGGAGAGCCTTCAGGCTCCAGTAGTGTTGAACTCCCCTTCTCAAGCCGTTCCATCTATTCAAAGGCCAAGAACACCACACATCAGTTTGGTTCCAAATGTGCATTGCAGTGTGGGTTAAGATACACACCTGGGACTCTTGTAAACCCCAAGTCCTTGAGATGTGTTTACTGGTGACTCCTTTTGCTTTTTTAACCTTCTCTTTGTTTCAAGCCCGTGGGGGAAGGGGATGGTTTCCCTTTCAGGGAGAAGCTGGATTGCTGACCTGTAGCCCTTATGTTTCTCCACAGGCCGTGGACTCCACTCCACAGGGAGGAGGCTGGGCAGGCTGGGGCTCCTGGGGAAAATCTCTGCTCTCATCCGCCTCCGCCACAGTAGGTAAGCCGCACATGTTACCCTGGAGCTGACATCCACTGCACCATGCACTGAGTTTAATGTCAGCCCACAAGCAAACTGATTTTGGTGCTTGCTGTTCTAAGCACTTCATGTATGCTAATACATGCAGTCTTCAAAATCATCCTTCAGGGAAATCTGTTATTTTCTCCATGGGACACATAAGCAACTAAACCACAGAGGCTGAGACTTTGTTCAAGTCAGCAGTGTCAGAGTTGGGATTTGGTGAACTCAGAGTCAGCTGAGAGACCCTGTCACCTTGGCCAGCCAACAGAACCTAGTGACAGGAGTGAAGTCCCCATGACTTTACACTTTTCACTTGGGGACAGGAATCTTTGGTCTCTCTCACTACCACCTGCCTCTCCTTTCTGAAATCCCCATCTGTCACACCACCAATTCCAGAGGCTTAGTATTTTCACAGCTTTGGCTGTAGGTTGGGGATTTGAAAGGGGAACTCAGAAGTCCTAGCTGCTCCACTTCATATCCAGTTCCCTACTCTTGTGCCTTGGGAAAACAATGGAGGATGATCTAAGTGCTTGGGCTCCTACCATCTATGTAGGAGATTCAGATGGAGTTCCTGGCTCCAGGCATTGCAGCCATTTGGGGAGTGAACCAGTGGATGGAAGAGGTCTCTGTCTCTCCTCCTCTCTCTCACTTTGCCTTTCTAGTACATAAAAAAAACAAAACAACAAAAAAAAAGCCATGCCTTATATAATACTGACTGAAATTGTAAACATGTATAACTGGAAATGAGATAGCTTTCAATGAACCTGATGCAGTACTCAATCATGCGGCACGAGTGGAGTCAAATAAGAGGCTGCCAGCTTGGAATCGGGATCACAGGTACTGCAAACCTGGAGAGATGGCAGAGCTGAGCCCACAGCCCGAACTGGGCAGCAGCTTTAACCTGCTCTGGTCAGGGGGTTGCCGAGGTTAGGACACTGCTGGGGGCACTGACTTCCCAAGGTGGAGTGCCAAAATCTGTGTCCCAGCTCTGCTCCCAGTTCCAACTTCTGGCTACTGTGTACCCTGGCTTACAGTGGGTGATGGCATGAGTGTTTGGATCATAGCCACCCACATGAGAGACCTGAGATGAATTCCAGTTCAGCTTCAGCCTGGGCCAGTTCCAGCTATTGAACACATTAGAAGGATGTGCCTGCAGAAGGAAAAGCTTTCTAGCTCTCTCACTTACTGGCTCTCCTTTCAGATAAAACTCTTAAACTTTGTCCAGAGTGATGGTGCCTTTGTGGCCTGTGTCTCTGTGGGAGCTACTGGTATCTCTTCAGGACTACAAGGCAAGCCAGGCATGCCTTCAGTTATGTGCAGACACTGTGACCGACCCTGGGGACTCGGCTGCAGTGACAGTCTGTCATCATCAGGAAAGGAGCCGTGGTAGGAAGCAGCACTCGCAGCAATAGATGAGTGCTTGGAAGTATATAAATTACCTGTGGAGACTAAAGAAAGAAAATAGCTCCATGGTCAGTTGCAATCGATTTCCACTCAGAAACCCGCTTACCCCTGCCCCAGGTAATTCAGTTTGCAGACAGGAGTGCAAAACATGTGGCCCCCAACAAACTGCTGAGCTGTTGCCAGTGGATTGGTAGAAATAGGAACGAGTGTTTCTCACAGTTGAGAAAACTACATCTGCAACTGGGAGAAAACTGTTGGCATTTGGCAGGTGAGTGATTGGTGATGAGACACTTCTGGAAGGTGGTACTCTCTTGGAATGAGCACTGTAGCTTGAGTCCTAGGACCAGGTCCCAAATCCTTTACCTGGGGTCACAAGGGACTGCCCCCTGCTAGCTGAACCATGCACTTGAGTTTTCTGAGACTTGGGTTCTTCATTTGGAAAAATGTGGGTAGGGAAGTTTAAGCAACTCTGGGGTCCCTTTCAACTTCCAGAATAGGAAGATTCCATACATTGTGACTATAACAAAGAGCAAGAATATGTGTAAGTACAGCCAGAGCTGAGCTGATCCAAAGCCAGGAGCCACGAGCTTGTTCTGAATCTCTCTCACAAGCGCAGGGTCCTGGGCCGTCCTGTACTGCTTTCTCATGCCACAAGCAGGGAACTGGATGGGAAGCGGAGCAGCCAGGACTAGAACCAGTGCCCATATGGGATCCTGGCGCATGCTATGATGTGATCATTCTCAAAGAATATTACTACAAAAGATAGTAGGCTCAGGCTTGGGTTTTGTCAACAGCCCTTTAGTCTCTGAGTCAGGTGCATGGGTTAGTGAGTTTCTGCTGGGCTGCTAGACCAAGGACACCGCTTGTCAATGTTAAACCTAATGGGAAGTGAGTATCTGATTACAGAATGGACAGCAGCCATCCTGACGGAGGGAGGAGGCAGGCTCCTCTTCCCACTGCACCATCATTTGCTTTAGTTGAGTCTGACAGTATCAACAATCTATTGTTCTAAACCAGCACTATACAATGCAGCATGGTGTCTTGCTAGAAGAATCTGAAATGTGCTCAATATCTTTATCTGATTGCTCTAAAATGCACCCAAACAAGACTGCAAATTGGTGAAGCTTCCAGAAGAGTAATTATCTGTCAATAAAGAACTGAAAATGTGATCAGGCAACTCAGTAGGATGCTGTGCAACCACAGACAAGAGTGAGGTGGAGGAGAGTCCTATTCTGACACTCAGGATACAGACGAGGGCAGAGGTTTGTGTACTGGAGTTTCACTGTGGAATTTTCTTAAAGTAAAGCCTTGCAAGAGCTCAGAGGATTGGAAGTCAACCCAGGTCATAGCCCAAGTTCATACACAGTGTGGTTGCAGCAGAGGTTCCAACCTATCCTGTGGGGGAGCTTTGGGGCTTCAGATGGCTCATTAACATGCCCCCCATTAATGTACAGATCATAAGCTCCTGCCTTGACCAGCCACTGTAATACAATCTGGGAGGAGCCACCTTTGTTCTGCCACAAGCAGTTCAGAGGAAGGTGTTCAAGAGACAATATCAGCAGCAGGAAAAATGAACAGTGTGATTCTGAGCAGTGCACACCATTCCTGCCTGTGCAGACCAAGTGGGAAAAGTGACCCTTAACCAACTTCAAATGGCACAAAAAACAATGGAACAACAACAAAAACACCTTAGTGTAGCAGGGAGGACACAGTGGATTGTAGAGACACAGGGACTGTTGGAATCCTACCACTGTCACTGTCTTTGGGACTTTGGCCAAGTGATTTTTGTCCCACTGAATCTCAGTTTTCTTGGTTGTGAAATGGATCTTAGAATATCCCTCACCCATGGTGATTGAAACCATTGAGATGATTTTCTATACTGAAAATATTTTATCCAGTACCTGGGCTGTAGTCAGTCCTGAGTAAATGTTGGCCAAAGCAGAGGTTTCACATGTGGCTCCTTGGTGATCACCCTGGTGGACAGGTGTACCAGGTCTTCCTCCTTTGAGAGAATATACAGCAGCAGCAGAGAGTAGCTCTCCAGCATTACACAGCTAATAGGTAATGGAGCCAGAATTCCTCCACAAGACCCCTGATGCCTAAGCTTAGGGTATTATCTGCTAGAGTATAGGTGATAAATGAAATGCTGGCCAATCAGTTAACATCTTTAAAAATTATGTAGTGAGATTGCGTTTATGCAATATTCACTATCATCTTTATTCACCTTCTTTTGTTGCAATAAGTCAAGGAGTACAGGATAATCCATCTTTTGAGTCATGGGATTTAGAGGGGTTTCTGGTTTTTAGGGCACTTGAAGTATAAATACACCAATCTATGAACTATACCCTATGGTATTATTTAGACTTTTTTTTTTTTTAACCCAGTTGGTGTCTCTAGAAGTAAATCCACTGAGAAGTTACAGCAGTCTCATAGCATTATTTTCTTGTTCTGGGCACTAGATGTCACACTAAGTAAAATTTTTGGAAGTTAACTCTTCAAAGTAGGGTGTGGCACAATATCTAAACCTCAAGCAATGAAAAATCACAGCTTGTATGTAAATATGAAGCTTCACTTTATATTCCTAGTAGCATGTAGTATAAAGACATACTTTTGCTTGCAAACATTTCAGAAAAAAAAATGGTTATCTAGAAAATTGTGTTGGAGTAGCAGACTGTTGTCATGGCTATTAAGCAAACACACTGCTTATCTGTACATGAAAATGGTATTTTCCTCCAGAAACAAAGTGGTTTGTCTACAGGCAACTTGTATATCTATCTTTATGGTCGTGTGTATTTTGACTTGGCAAGAGGCAAAGAGAACCAGGCAGGGCCTTGACCTGCAATTCTGGTCAAGGTTAAAGAGATAGTGAAGACCAAGTTTATTCAGCCCTGACGTGGTCTGAGGGAGGGGTGTGGAGTCGTCATCTTTCTTGCCTGGCTTGAGCGAAGAACACGAAACAGATGGTGCCTCCCAGCCAAAATGAGCCATGTAAGCTGAGATTTGGATGTTCAAGATTTCCTTTTGGAATAATAAATTTGTTTTCATGATGACAGGAAGAGGGATTCGGTGTGTAGAATTAGATGGTTATAACAAGCAGCTTAAATGCATCACTGAAACTTCAATAAGTACTCGTTGAAATGCCTTAATTCACTGGAAGCCAGAGAGAATTAGCTCAATCTTAGTTTTAGCAATTACAGTACATCCTTGTTTGGGGAGAAACTGAATCATGAGTTTGAATGATGTCTGAGGATCTGTTCATGAAATATAAACGCATATTTCTATGTGTAATTAGAATTGTAAATCATGTCTCCTTAAGTTTCAGGGTTTTTAAGACAATGTGAATGACAGGTAGTTTCTGTTGAATTATAATTAATCCTGTATTTAGTAATGTTGGTGCCTGTTTGCTCTAATAAACAAGGTTCCAACAGATAATGATGGGCTCTTTGGGTCTGGGATTCATTCATGACTTCCTCTGATTCAAGAGATGGGCCGTTGGTCATCCTAACGGTGCCTCTAAGGGAGGCAGCACGTGCAGCTCCCACCCCCTGCTGGGACTCAGGATGGTCCTACCACTCATGCACATTGTAGCTGCCAAGGTGTCGCAGGTCCCTGAACATAATGGACTTTGGGGTTGCTGTAACGACAGGAATCAGTAGGCTATTGATTCCTTCATCGGATTTGGGAACTTGGAAGTGCTAGGGTTCATCATGAGGACCTGGAAGTGGGTGGGGCTAGCTCTGCAGAATAAAATGTAGGGGAGGCTATTTCTCTGTCAAGCCAAGAGTTTTCCATATGGGTCAGCAGTGCATTCAGCAACTGGTTTTGAACTCCCTCTGAGCCAGGTTCTGGGGACTGTAGCTGCTGTTCCTATGCGGGTGGAGCAAAGAAACCACTGCCCCATGGCTTGCTTTGGACCATGATTGCTGAAGCCAGCTTATCAATGGCCCGGTTCTCTCCCTGGACTTGCCTGTTGATCTAGGGACGTTAGCTCCAGACCCTTTGGACTGACTAACACTTGGAAGGGTCCTGTTGAAGCTCAGATGATTCCCATTCAGCAAATACTGAAAGAGTGACTGCAAGGTATGAGGCCATTCAGGAAGCAAAACGCAAAGGGCCCAGCTCTGCAGGAATGAAGAGGAGACAGGTACACTGTGCAGAGATAGGCTCTCCGTGTGGGATCCCAGGCTTGGAGCCAGACAAGGCTGAGAAGTACCTGGGAAGGGCGGGTGTTTGGAATAGCAGTTGTGATGTTCACATCTGTGTCAGAGAGCCTGGGTTTGAGCTCCTAGCTCTGCTCCTGATTCTAGCTTTCCACTCATTTGTATCCTGAGAGGCAGCAGAGGATGGCTCCAGTCACTGGGTCTGCCACCCACACAGGAGACCTAGATGGAGTTCCCAGCTCCCAGCTTTTACCTGGCCCAGCCCACACCTGGCCATTGAATGCATTTGGGTAATGAAGCAACTGATGGGAACATTCTTGCTTGTATGCTCTCACTTGTAAATAGATTTTTAAAAATCTGGGAGCACTTTATGTACACTGACTGATCTCGTTTGTGCTTCACAACCAGTAAAGAAACTGAGTCACAAGTATCTTCTCCAAGGTCACTCAGCAGGCAGTGGTAGGTGGCCACATCTAAAGGACTCTGGCACCTTGGCTGTGGACCCCTGGCTGTCCATCAGGGTGCACACCTACCACTTCAGACTGCTTTCCAAGAGGAGCCAGAGAACTTTGCAGAGCGTGGGGATTCCAGCATGTGTCTATAGCCTCTTTCTGTTCTCTGACAGGTCATGGATTGACAGCAGTCAAAGAGAAAGCAGGTGCCACCCTCCGGATTCATCCTGTCAACCCTGGATCTTCTGAAGGGGCCCAGTCCACTCCCGAAAACGGGGTACCCGAAAGTGAGTTATTCCTTTTCTTTGCTTGTCCTTGTCCTCGGGCTTGATGGTGCCGTGTGCACATAGAGCCTGCTTTCACATTCGTATCAGCAGCAGGAAAGCTAACAATTGTGTTCTGTTTAGCTGCCGATGTGGCTGCAGATCCAGGCCCCACAGGAAGCCCACCCACGTCTCCTTCATCGGGGTCACGGGGCGTGCTGTCAACCCTCACCAATGTGGTGCAAAACACAGTGAGTCGTAGCTGCTTCCTCTGTCGCCCCCTCAAGTCCCCAGCACTTGCTTCTGATGTTTCTATTTACAGTGACCTAGATACATCAGAGAGAAGAGGGCTTTGCTTGTAGCACTGGATTATGGTTTTTGTTGTGTTTTCTGCTGCAGAACAGGTGTAACCTTGGAGCCTGAATAACAAGGGCAGCATGAGCTACATGTGATGTGGAAGAGAAGGAAGCTGCTTAGAAGGAATATTTTCCAGTCTGATTTAACCATGTCCTGCCCAAGCACTGTAGTGACAGCCTCTGGCCAGGGAGAGAGAAAACACTCTGGAGTCCGACTAGGAAAGCTGTGTTTTCTAGCTGCTCTAACCCTCACTCTGAACAATTGCAATACCACTCACATGAAAGACGAGCAGAAACAGAATCAGGAATAGCAGCCCCTGATACATCTCTAGAGTGTGCCTTGGGGCAGGCAATTAAAGTGCCTCTTGGGACACCCACATCCCAGATCAGGGTGTCTGGTTCAAGTCCCAGCTCCTCTGCTTCCTGTGAAGGTGTACACTGGGGGGCAGCAGGTGATGGCCCGGGGACTGCCAAGCACATGGGAAATCCAGGTGAAGCCCCAGACTCCTTCCTTCAGCTTCGCTCAGTCCTGGCTGTCACTGGCATTTGAGGAGAAAATGGGCAGTTGAACAGTGTCTGCCTTGCAAATAAAATGCAAAGAAATAAAAAGTAGTTCTAGATAATAAAGGTAACTAGATTGGGCTCAGTGCAGTAGCCTAGTGGCTAATGTCCTCACCTTATAAGCCCCGGGATCACATATGGGGGGGCGCCAGTTCTAATCCCAGCAGCCCTACTTCCCATCCAACTCCCTGCTTGTGTCCTTGGAAAGCAGTCAAAGATAGCCCAAAGTCTTGGGACCTTGTACCTGCATGGGAGACCTGAAAGAAGCTCCTGGCTCCTGGTTTCAGATTGACTCAGCTCTGGCAATTGCAATCACATGGGGAGTGAATCAATGGATGGAAGATCGTTTTCTGTCTTTCCTCCTCTCTGTATATCTGACTTTCCAAAAAAAAAAAAAAAAAAAAAGAAATGATGACGACTAGATAGCGTTCTTCCCTTATCCTCACCTCACAATTCCCACTGTCCTCTTCTCCTTTCCTTGTAGAACTCCAGATGTATGCCTTCAGGCTCCTGCCTCCATCTTAAAGGAGTCTGGTCATTGGCAGCAAGACACCAAAGGTGTTGATGAAGTGTGTAGACCCCAGTTGGCAGAAGGCAGCCACCTTGTCCTCGGGACCAGCAAGAAAGTGGGGATTTTCTATCCTGTAGAAATGGGGATTTTCTATCCTGCTGGTTGCTCAAAACTGTCTTGTTTACCTTTTCATTGCAAAATTGGCCAGGAGCCAATAACTCAGCCCAGGTCTCACACACACATGGCAGGGACTCAAGAATTTGACCCTTCCTAACGTGCACATTAGCAGGAAGCTGGGCCTGGAAACGGAGCAGGGACTCCAACCCGGCTGCTCTGATGGGGGAACGGGACATCCTAAGAAGAAGCTTAACTAACCAGCGCACCAAATGCCTGCCCCTTGCGTGATTGCTTTCTGAACTCCTCACCTAAGCATCTATAGGGCATTGAAGGTTTTGCTTTGCCCCTTTCTGAACTTGCTAGTTCAGATTTCCATCCAACCCTTCATGATTTTTTTATCGCTTTCGGTAATTAAGCCATTCAATCTAGGGTGTATCTCATAGCCTAGATTTTTGCTGATTCCATAATTGTGGTACACCTCAGCAAGTAATTCACTTTCCTATGTATGACTCACACCTCACCAATGCTTTCATTCATTTAACAGAAAAACGTTAATTCCCACTATGGCCCAGGAGCTGTGTGAGGGGTTGGCATGGGCTGGTAAGCAAGGGGCACATGGCTCTGGCAGACAGGGGCAGCTCAGCACTTGGTGCTGCAAGGAAAGGGGTTGTGGACAGAGGAGGCTGTTTTATATGGACTTACACATCTGGGCATGCCAGGAAGAGAGAAAATGTGCTTGTCTCCTTGTCACTCAGGAATCTCTATCCTAGGCAGGGTGGACAAGGAGCAGTAAATGGGCTTTTGGGGCCCCATCTCAGTACCTGTCCAGCAGCCGTTGGGGATGAAGGTTTCTCTTGCAACACCTGTGGCACAGGAGGCCAGTTGATGACCTCCAGAATACCCTGAGTCTGCCTGCAGCATTCCACTCTGGGCCTTCTGGACCTCCACCACCCCTCCCCAAAACCCCCAGGTCCTTCCTTCTCCCTTTTTTCCTCTTCTGGGTGACCCATGGCAACAGATCAAGTCGTGTGAAAGCACATCTTGCAGGGATCCCATCCTCCTCCCAGAGCGTTGCATCTTGCAGTCTGTGTTATGATTATTGATCAGCCCCCAAATCTAAACACAAAGGCCATGCCGGGATGGAAATGACAGATGGAGCAAATACATTCTATGACACTGAATAGTCTGTGAGTGGGATATTTATGAAGATTGGAAAGTGCAGGTATGATGCACTGTAATTTATATTACCTCTATAAAGTAGAGGGAAAGCATAAGGTGTGCATATTATAATTACAGTTGTGTAGTCAGGGGATTTGTACAAAAAAAGTTGCAAAGAATTATACATGGTTTGGTTTGCCAGAGCAGCTGATATAAGCCACAGTGGCTTTGAGTTTGGGTTTTTTTGTTGTTGTTGTTGCCTCTGACAAAGGGATTTTTTTTAGGGGAATAACTGTAAAGCAGGGGAATGTTTAAAGCCAGAAATACATGGCAGTCCCCCTGGCTGAAATCATGAATATACTAATTATTGGCAGTTTTTGCTGGTTTCTGAAAGGATTCAGGAGTCGTCTCAAACAGCCCCAGGGCTCTGTACTCCCAAGGGCCTGAGATTAAAGAATCCCCTAAATTGCCAAGAGTATTTGACATTCTAATAGGTTGCTCTAAATAACTCTGTTACGTGAGTTAAATTTTTCCAGACCAGCAACTGGGTCACCTGCTCACTCAGCATCTTGAGTACATAGAAATGAAACCAGTGAAATGCACTCCCTTTTGCCATGGCTTTTATTCCCTAGACATTGCTTTTTGTTTTTTTTTTTAATTACATTGTAATGCCCTATACATTACATAGCATATGCTTTTCCAAGGGAAAGAAAATAGGATTAAATGGATGATAAATCTGATGAGAGGAAAAGAAAAAAAAAAAACCCTGTGCCTTTATATTGATTTTAATATTTGAAGAGCATGCCAGTTATTTAGGAGTTGCTGTTGGCTGCCAAACAGAAAAACGACAAAAATCTCATCTCCTGCAATTGTGTCCCTGGCAGGGTAAGAGCGTCCTGACTGGTGGCCTTGATGCCTTAGAATTCATCGGGAAGAAGACCATGCATGTCCTTGCCGAGAGCGACCCCGGCTTTAAGAGGACCAAGACCCTCATGGAGAGAACCGTTTCCTTGTCACAGGTTGGGTCATGTGCCTTGGCAAGGTTGTCTTTGGGTGTGGTAAAGGGTCCTGTAAAGCACAGGATTTATATTCACACTGCACCAGAGTGGAGAGTGACCATTGAGGAAGGAATGCCGCCAAAGGCCAGCAGCTTTAGGCTCCCTGGTCTTACGTGTGCCAGGCATAGGAGGGAGATGTGCAGGCTCACTCCCCCATCCCAAGAGACAGTAACCTTGAACCCAGACAAGCACACCAGCCCAGTGGCTCAGAACAGTATGGGGTAGGAGGAGGGAGGACCTGTGCGGAGAGTGATGCAGGGCTGAGGCCAAGTCTATTTGGGTTCCAGACTTCCTGCTGGAGTAAATGTGGGCTGTGCAATGAAAGGCGGCAGCCGGGAAAGCATCCAGGCCCAAGGCACCTGAAGGATTAAACCAAAGTCCCAAAGACCAGACCAAGAATGTGAGCTTAATTACTCTGAGGAGCTAGTGCTGAACATATTCTGAGTTTGTATTTATTGATTTTGGGGAGGGGGCAGTTATTGAAGTTCTCTATACATATGTGATTATGTATACACATATACAATGCTTAAGTTAAGATTGCATATAGGGGCCAGCACAGTGGCATGGCAAGTTAATCTTCTGCCTGTGGTTCTGGCATCCCCTATGGATGACAGTTGGCGTCCTGGCAGCTCCACTTCTGATCCAGCTCTCTGCTAATTGCCTGAGAAGGCAGCAGAGGATGCCGCAAGTCCTTGGGCTCCAGTACCGCTTGGGAGACCCAGAAGAAATTTCTGGTTTCTACCTTCAGACCAACTCAGTTCTGGTCATGGTGGCTGGCCACTGGAGAGTGAACTGGTGAATGGAAGATCTTGCTTCCTCTCTGTCTCTCTATAATTCTGTCAAGTAAAATAATGTAACAAGTAATATCAGACCAGCTTACTTCTGTTTTGAATTCTGAGTAGGTATAGAATTCGTGGTTAAGACCATCACAAGAAATTGAATTTTCCAGTGTCCTTGAAGCTTGCTGTCTATAGAACATGGGGACATTGCAGAAAACAGGAATGTTAATCACATACATGGAAAACATTTTGCTGGAAGCCAGTGTTAGGCTTTTGTTGTGTACTGCTTCACAGACTTAGTCCCATGTGTGACATTTTTACTTTGTTTCTGCATAGTATGTAGTGACATGCCAAGATTACATTAAAATGATCAGTAGCACCACTGGAGAAACATTTCTTAGAAATTCTGAGATCACTAAAGCCTCTCCTTCTGAAGGACAAGCTTCAGTCCTACTGCCTGCCCGGTGACCTGGACAGGAAGTGGGGCTCCTTGCATGTTGTGAGCAAACATGATACCTGCCCCGTGACATGGGCAGTAAATGGGTCTCCTTGCGTGTCATGCACAAACATGGTTTGTTTCCACAGATGCTGAGGGAGGCCAAGGAAAAGGAGAAGCAGAGACTGGCACAGCAGCTCACGGTTGAGAGGACCGCCCACTATGGGATGCTGTTTGATGAGTATCAAGGTCTGTCACACCTGGAAGCCCTGGAGATCCTGTCCAACGAGAGCGAAAGCAAGGTGCGTCTGCCGTGATCATGTGAAAAAGCACGTTGCATTATGCATCTGTCAAACAGGAAAGCAGTTGCAGGAAGCCATGAAGAGATCTCGTTGTTAGCATGCTGCAGGCCCCCTCCTCCTGTGTTTTGGTCCCACTTGTGATGCTTTTCTAATCCAGGAGAGATTGCCTCTGCCCAACCAGATAGTGGAAGCCCTCTGCCCTGCCAGGTTATCACATCGTATGTTCCTATTTGTGTTTATTTCCTTTATGATTGCTCTTGAGTCCTCAGTGAAATCCATATAGTCCAAACTGGTCAAGGATAATTTTCACAAGAAACAAAATCATGTCTCTCTTTCGGCTACAAAATGAGCACCTCTTAAAGAGTTTATTTCACTTCTTCACTGGGGAGGGAGCCAGGCAGATGCTAGAACCAGTGACGAAGAAAAGCCGGAGAAGCAGCAGTGTACATGGAGTAAAGTAGTGCTGACTACACGTGCAGCACACAGACCCACTTTCTCCATGGCAGGGAAGGGTGCCCCTCAGCTGAACAAAAGTGGGCTGCATCTATACACAAAAATGATTCAACAACAGGTGTGAGCTTAAAGGTAAAGACACCAATTAAGATGCCCACATTCCACACCTGAATCCCTGGGCTGCAGTCGGGGCACTCTGGCTTCTCCCCTTCATGTTCTGTTAACAGGGACCCTTGCAGGTGGCAACAGTGCCTCCAGGAGAGGGGTTCCTGCCTCCCACGGTGGAGGCCTGGAGAACATTCTCAGCTCCCAGCTTCGGCCTCACCCAACCTGTGATTATGGACATCTGGGAAGTGATGGAGTAGATGGGAACTCTCAGTCTCTTAAATTAATTAACTTTTTAATTAATTAAAATGCATGACCTACCAACAGTGAGCAATTTTGTAAATATGAAATTGTTCCCCTAGACTGAGAATAAGATAATCCAGTAAGGGTGAGCTCTACAAAGTGCAGCTTCCCACCAAAACACATGTTTTCCCTTACCGGGGTTGGGTTTGGCATCAAATGCCACTTGATGGTAGCTATATGGCACATGGTCAACCCTTCTGTCCCCGTGCTGGGCAGCAGAAGGAGCCATAACTCCCAACGACCCCACACAGGCATTCGCTTCAGAAATAACCCACATCCTGCAGTTTGCCCTTGCTGCTCTGTGATGCCTGCTAGGCTGCATGTAGTCAATGCATTTTTGGTTTAGATGACTTGCAGCTTCCCCTGAGTCTATCAGGGGAACCCCACACCAAGGAACAGTCATACTGTCATAATCCCACAGATCAGAAGTTATACATCCACTCAGAAGTTATACATCCAATGTCTACACCAGCCTCCAAGCTGTCCTCTTACCTCCAGCTCTTTCACCTCAAGGTGCACCCGTAAAGTTGTACCCACACCCCCTGCAAACAGCCCCCCTGGTAGCCACCTGTTGGGCATGGGGATACAGGTACAAGTGGCTTGTTCCCACCCTAGGGAGTACACTCCAATTTGTGCCAGCTGTGGAAGGGAAGCTTCAGTGGCCTGAAAAGTTTTGTCAGAGGGCAAGTGTGCTCTGATGGGCACTGCTCTGGGATCCCTGTGGTGTTGCCTGTGTCCCAGACTAAAGGCACCAGTGGATTTTGCCATCTTCCAGGGCCTTACATCTTCCAAACCATGTTAGCATAAGGATAGACATTATAGAGGGAATGCACCCATTTTCAGCACTCTTGTCCAGAAATAATGCATAGTATCCCTACTGACATTCTGTCAGCTGAAGCTCAGGTCCAGGGATGGAAATAGAATTATTATTGTTATTGGTATTGGCCTAGGTTGACTCTAAGATGTCACCAGCCATTGACCCTTTTAAAGAAAAACTCACCATTTTCATTGCCATGATTTGCAGCTACAAATAATAAACAGAAACTTCAAAATGACACCACATGTTCCTATAAGGCAGACTGTCTGCCCTCAGCTGCTGGCCAATGCTTAGCACAGTGCCAAACAGAACCAGGTAGCATCTAACATCCCATGAATGGTTTTTGAGGACCATGTAGTAGTTTATCATTGAAGTAATGATTCAGTGCCCATAGCCTTGGGGCAGTGAAGTGAGCTAGGATGAAGAAACATAAGTGAAGGCTGAAATGAGGATTCTGAGAAGGCCAGGGCGAGGAGGAGGAGAGGCCAGCAGCCATCAGGCAGGGTGCATTTGCTCCCACCTGCTGAACTCTCTAGCTAATGGGTGGGTTAATGGGTTCTGTGATGACAATTTCCTGCCCAGCTTCCTTGCAGAGCCTCTGCACCCATTACATTATGCAGCAATGGTGTCCATTAACAACGATTTAAAAAACGATGTCCTGGCATCTCTAATTCTCTCAGTTGTCCCAGCATGCTCATCTCTTGCCATCATAAATATATAAACATTCCCAAGATGCCTGGGACTCCTCTGCCCACTGCCCCTCCAGACCTAAGACCTGTACACTGGAAATAAAACCCTCCTACTTCACAGCCATCTTCTCTTTCTGATGTGGTATGGTGCTCTGTGCCCTGCGCCATCTAGAAATCCAAATTGATCTCCAGAGGCTGCCTACACAGCTCTACAGCTACTTCATTGTAACTGTTACTTAGTTTTTGAGAGGGAATATTGAGAGAGAAAGAGCTCCCTTCCATTGATTTATTCCTGCAAATGCCTGCAATATCCAGAAGTGAGCCAGGCCAAAGCCAGGAGTTGAGAACTTAATCCAGGTTTCCCATGTAGGTATAGGGACTGCAGTACTTGATTTTATCCCTGCTGCCTCCTAGTGGGTGAATTTGCTGGAGTCAAGAGCTGGAGTTACTTTTGGGCATCATAACCGTTAGGCAAAATGCCAGCCCCCAGCTGTGACACAGGACAGTTTCAAGGTAGAGTTCTGAAGACAGCAGGGATGATATCATCCAAGCATCACCGCCTCTGTGAAGTCTCCCCTGCTTACCCTCTTGCCTCCTCCAGGCGGCAGAGCCCCTCCCTGGTACCCTGTCTGTAACCTCCACCCACATCAGTCATGGCCGTTACTGACTGACACTTCCTGAAGCCGTAAGATCTCAGAGAAGAAACAGATATGACATTAGGTATTTCTGTTTGCTTACCTGTGGACACACCTGTTATGTATATTAATTATGTCATGCATTATTTATTGAGTACTGCTACAAGTGTTTTAAACACATTATTTCATTTAATTCTTCGAGTGCCCCTGTAAGATAGATACAGTTAGTTTCCACTTTACAGATAAAGATGCTGAGGCAGAGATATTAAATGTGTTACTCAAGGTCACATAATTAATAGGTGAGGAGCCCAGTGCGTCTTAGCTGCCGTGACAGAAGAGCTGCCACTGCCATTTCCTTAGCATCCACTATGTGCAGTGGGCTCCATATTCATGATCTCGTTTACCATACAAAGAAATGCAAGGACATGTGGGTCTTGCTGTAAAAGAATGAGAAGACGGAGGCCCCGTGCAAGTTTACCTTGCAGGTTCCTAAAATGGAGATGCGACCTGAAGAAATGGGGGCACAGTACTCTCTTTTGGCAACTGATAAAGTTTATTTCCAGGGTCTCAGTTTTTATACATTTCATGAAACAATGGTTCATACATAAATCAGAATTAGATCATGTCTAAGAACACAGAGACAACAAAGAAGCTAACAAGGCGACTTAGGCAGAGTTATTGAAACAGGGAATAGATAATATTGTCCGTCCTTGATTGACTAGACAGAGCACAGATGTCCACCTATCGTCAAGGAGAGCACGGAAGCACATCCAAGGACTCACTGGGTACAAGAGCACACTGTGGGTGAGAGGCCTTCCACCTTCTCTTTCCTGGAGCCTCTTCTCAACAGGGTCCCACAGGCCTCCACTGTCCCAGTTTTCCTATGGCTGTATTCTGACACCCCAGAGCTCTGGGAGCTCACCCCAAGCTGAACAGTTGGTAAGCAGTAAAGCCAGCATCCAGCCCAGCATCCCCTCCCAAGCTATAGGTCACCTCAGTCAGTTCTGGGAAAACCATGCACAGCTGTATGTCAGTGTCATTCACAGGAAGAAAAGATGACAATTGTGTTGACCTATTTTTTTTTCAGGTTCAATCATTTTTAGCATCACTGGATGGAGAGAAGCTGGAAGTACTGAAAAATGACCTCATTTGCATTAAAGACATTTTTGCAGCCAAAGACTTAGAGAACGAAGAGGCTCCAGAAGAACCAGGTAAAGGCCAATTACAAGTCGGCCAAAAGCATCTGCTGGAGCTCCCGTCAGGGAGGACTGCTAGCAGGAGACATGGCTCTTTGGACAGGCTGGAGTTAACTGAATTCAGGTGCTCCAGGCCTGCAGAACCCCTGTGTACCTGCTGTATGACAGGCAGCAATTCAGGCTGATTTATGACCCTCTCTCACTGGGCAGGCACTGTTATTGTTTCTCTGCCATCCAGGCACATCTCAGACTTGCAATCCATGTGTGTGGTTGGATGAACAAGCACGCTGTACACAGTGTGCTCTTGTGACCACAGTGTGCTGCAGCTTCCGGTTCTTACTCTACATGGAGTTGTTTGGAGTCATGGATATTGATGGTAGGCAAGCCTTGCAAGGGATATAGTGGCGTAATTTTCTCCTAGAGTCAGAGTCAGAGTATCTTGGAAAGTCGTCCACACCCACCTAAACAGTACTGACTGAAATGATCCCCATTTTCCCATCCAGGCACCAGAGCATGACTTTCCAGTGTGGTTATCACTGAGATGACCCAAGTACACTTTCCCCTGATCCTCCAGCCCTGTAGTCTTAAAACCAAAGAGACTGCAGGACCTATTTTCTGAAAAGGAAGGCATCCTTAGCAGGGTCAGGGGAATTTCCTGATAGTTGAATACGCTCACTGATTCCTTCTGTTCACGAGTGGCTGTGGCCTCCCAGAGTGGTGTTACTGAAATGGCGGTTCCTTTAAAAGGTGGGGCCTCATGTCAAGTAATTAGATCATCAGGAGTCCTGCTCAGAAGGGATGAAAGCTGGGGCCCTCAGAGTGGCTGCAGCTCAGGAGAGTGGATGGTGGCCCATTCTCTTTCCTGTGATGCAGCTATGAGGCCCTCACAGAGACTGCACTGAATTCAGTGGAGCTCTGCACGCTTGGACTTGCAGCCTCCAAATCTGTGAACTCAGTAAACCTCATTTTGCCAAGTTTCCAGACTTGACGCAAAGCAGAATGAAGCCCTCACTGTGCACAGGGAGAGTGGTTTCTCACCAATGTTATAGCCAAGCACCACGTGGCAGTTGTTTAGTGGACTTTACACTGCAGCCCGGGCAGCCAGATACAAGGCCAGGGCCATGGGAGAGGTCCCATTGCAAACGCTGGGACTACTTTCATGCTGAATGGCCTTTCGGAAACTAAGGATCTTCCCCAACAATCAACCCCGGGATGGCTGTGGTGAGGTCAGTTAGATTCTGTACAGAATAGGGATTGCCCTGCTTGGCCTGCTGAAGGGCTGACTCAGTGCCAGGAAGCCAGTGAAGTTGCAGTAGAATTGCAGCTGTTACATGTCAGTGTAGAGTGACAGTGCATTGCTGCCCTTCTATCAAAGCTCTGACACCACGCCCAGGGCAAAATCAGTGAGTACACTCAGCAGTTGTCAGCCTAAGGACATGTTATTTGCATCAAAATACAAGAATGATTACACTGAAGCATTGGAATTAAGGTAGATGGCACACTTTTCCCAGGGCAGCACAGGGCATCATATGGCAAGAGATGGTGTGTGTCTGGGTGCACATACACATGTGCTCTCACCTATCTGGTCTCACCCTCCTTCAGTCAAGCCACTAGGATTCCACTATTGACGTTATGTAAATATAATCACCATCCAAAGTGATTTCCTTAGATTCCTACACTCTTTATTGTTTACAGGGATTCAGTTCCAATGCATGAAGCCCTAAGAAACACTCAGGCCATATCTAAACACTCAGGGCCTGTGTAGGCCAAGGTCCAAGAGAGAGTCACCAAGGGTGGGAGTAGTGTTTTTAACATTTCGTATGTTTCTACAACAGTCACACAGGTGACAGCCTTGTCTCTTGATCTCTGATGAAGAAACAGCACTGGACTGCCAGCCAACGAGGCATTTGGCCTTGTAGACTCAGCCCAGGATGGACTGTCAGAGGCTCCTTTCCCAGACTTAGAGCCCAGAGGAGCAGGTTGTTCCTCTCGGTTTTGCATGTGGATCTGAAATGTGGGTGGTGGGGAGAAAGAGATGAATAGATAGAGATCCTCTGTTCACTGGTTTGGTCTCCACATAGCTGTCATGGCCAGGGCCATGCTGTGCTGAAACCAGGAGCCTGGAACTCCATCCAGAGTCTCCTACATAGGTGGTAGGAGCCATCTTCTGCTGCTTCCTTGCAGGCATCAGTAGGGAGCTGCACCAAATTAAGAGCAGAGCAGCTGTGACTGGAACAGGCACTTGTGTGGGATGGCAACTTAACCCAGTTGCACTGCAGTGCTCAGGGCTCCTGATGCCTCTGATGGCGCTTGGCCCTGCTGGGGGGGGGGGGCGGGAGGTGTCACTCAGAAAGGATAAACAAACATCCTCATTGTTCCTAGCATCAGGGAGCATACTGCTGTGAGTGCTTCTTTCAACAATGTTGTATCCTCAGGTGGTGCTGTTCCTTGGAGAAGAAATTTGCTGCCATTCTGTTAACAAGAAAATGTTACTCCTTTGATGTGGCCCAGCCTCAGTGTAGACCTGCTGTAAATTGAGGTTTTGGAGTCTGCTACACGGAAGTGCAAGTGCAGAACAGCATGCTTGAAGAAATGATAAATTCATCTCTGCTTGAGTGGCAAAATCTTGTTATCTCCCATCATATATCCATTTTCCCAAAGAGTATCTCTAGATCATCAAAGCACTATTAATTTTTCATTAACTTAATTTAATAAATAGATATCAATTGGACACCTAATGAAGAACTGGGAGGACAAAATAGAGGCATTGCCATTGGATCAATCCAATTAGGATGCGTTGTTACCACTCCAGGCAGGCCGGGGGATTTCCCAACAGCCTGCAGGACAAATCTTCCCAGTGGAGAATAGAAGCCAGGAGAAAATTCTGGGAGAAACCACAACACTTTTTTCCAACTTCTTTCTTATAAGCACTTATATTCCCAAAAGGCTCTTAAGCAACTAAATAATTTATTGGGTAATCTCAGAAAATGTAATCAACTGCCATTTTTAGATAAGTCTAATATTGAGCTCCTTCATGTTTTCTAATGATTTGCATGTTTGTCTTGCCAGCAGAGTGCAATTTTATCACACTGCCCAGTATCTCTAACTTGATTTATCACGATGACGAAGAGATTTTTTATAAAGGCCATTTCCTCTTGTGATAGTCTTGGGGGAGAACAGACCAGGCATGGTAGTCACAGGTGTTCTTTGTTGCAACCTTCTGGCATCTGGGGTTTTTTTTATCTACTTCCACTTTCCATGGGATTTTGTTTCCTAAAAGTGGCTGCAGTGTGCTTTGTAGAATTCATGCATATTTCAAAGCCAGAGTTTCCCAAGGGCCTAGTGTCCATGTCTGAAGGTGGTGTGAGCATGAATCCTTCGTGTCCAAGGCACCTCTGTGTTTGAAGCCTTCCTTAGGCCATGCATAGGCAGGGCCTTGGTCCTTCCAGCCACTCTTGGAGAGGACATGGGCAGGGCTTCTTGTCTTCATTTGCAAAGGAGGAAGTGGAAGCTGTGGGAGAATTAGGTGTGTAGATGCCCTCCCCCTCCTGCACAGGGCCCTTGGTGCAGGAGCTGGAACAAAACCCGTACCTCCCAAGTGTGGCTCCAAGACTCCTGACCAAACCACTGCCTCACTCAGAGTGAGAAGAGCCAGCGAGCTGGGGGATGAGGCCCACAGGTACTGCTCAGCTGTGTCACTGCCTCTCTTGCCCACCTAGCAAGGTTGGGCCCAAGACCCCTGTGGTTGGATCCAAGACACTGTCTCTAGTGGCAAGTGCATTCTTTTTCATGAAGGCTGTATTCAGATATCACCTCCTTCAGAAAGCCCTCCTGACACACCGTTGAGAACTGAATTAGGTACCAGAGAAGCCCCTCAACTTCTTTGTATTAAAATGATCGGCTTCTTGCAAATTCATCACTGCCGAGAGATGCACAGCCCGGCTCGTGGGGCTCTGCAGCAGCCTCACTGGCTTCCTGGCTGTGGCCAGCCATGCTGCCTGCTGCACTTGGCTCTCACTGTGCTGCCACCCATGGGCTCTTCCTGTGGCCTTGTGGCTCATTGCTGTCCTCTCCCAGGTCATCACTCCCATGTCTCCTTCTCACCTTCCCTCGCATTCTAGTCCATTCATCTGCCATAATGAACTACCAGACACTGTCTGACTTACAAACCGCAGAAACTCATTCCTCACAGCTCTGGAGGCTGAGAAGTACAAAATCAAAGTTCCAGCAGATACTGTGTCTTGTCTAGATTGTTGCTTTCTTACTCATGAATTTGACTCTGTGGCTATGTCCTCACAGGGTGGACACACTTTTTGATAAACACACGGATCCGCTCTCATGACCTACTCCCCCCAAATCCCTACCGACACTTAGAGGTTAAAGTTTTTATGTATGTATGTATTTATTTGTTTATTTAATTGAAAGGCATAACTACAGAGAGATGGAGAGACAGAGATCTTCTATAGCTGGTTTATTACAGATGACCACAACAGACAGGTCTGGGCCAGGCTAACACCAGAAGCTAGAACTCTAATCATATCTCACGTGTAGATGGCAGCAGCCCACACACCCACCCTGCTCTCTCAGATGCAGGAGCAGAGAGCTGTCAGAAGTAGAGGCACCAGGTCTCTAGCCAGTGTTCACATGGGATGTCCACACTGCAGGCAAAGGCGTAATTTGGTTTCAGCACACAGCATCTTCAAGTGAAGATTCCTAAATTCAAGGTGCTTCATCTCTCCTCTTTGGTTTATATTTCTCTAAGAAATTTATCATGTGGTACAGATGTTTTATAAATCTGCTTTTTAAAAATTATTATTGATTGCATTCCTAAGAATACATGGCTCACAAGCTGGAATCAACTGATCTAAACCACATGTTTTGAGCAGAGACCAACAGGCTGGCCCAGCTGTAGCAGCGGGAATGGCTGCTTGACCATTTGTCTGTTGTGTGAAAGCAGCATGAATGAGCCAGTATATTCCTCACTCAGCTTAGTCCCCTAGGAAGCTGCTGCCCTCACATCTGGCATAAGCGAAGGCTATTGTGACTTTGTCATTGGGCAGATGCAAGATGCTTGCACCCTCTCCAAACCTGGCAGTATGCCCATTGTGGATTCTGTTCTCTAGCATTTACCTGTGTGAAACCTTAAAAATGGGACTGTATCAGGGCCTGGCATGATGGCTCAATTGGCTAGTCCTTCCTCAGGATTCGGTACAGGTGCTAGTTTGTGTCTTGGCTGCTCCACTTCCCATCCAGCTCTCTGCTTGTGACCTGGGAAAACAGTAGAGGATGGCCCAAAGGATTGGGACCCTGTACCCACGTAGGAGATCAGGAGGGAGCTCCTGGATGCTGGCTTCAGATTGCCTCAGATCTGGGTCAGCTCCACTCCAGGCATTGTAGCCATTGGGGAGTGAACCAGTGGATGGATGATCTTTTCTTTCTGACTCTCCTTCTTTCTATAAAAATGTCTTTCCAATAAAAATAAATGAATAAATCAGCCTGGCACTGTAGCCTGGCAGCTAAAATCCTCGCCTTGCATGTGCTAGTATCCCATATGGGTGCCAATTCTAATCCTGGCGCCCCTGCTTCCCATCCAGCTCCCTGCTTGTAGCCTAGGAAAGCAGTCGAGGATGGCCCAAAGCCTTGAGACAATGTACCCATGTGGGAGACCAGAAAGAGGAGGCTACAGGTTCCTGGCTTCACATCAGCTGAGCTCTGGCAAGTGAATCAGCAGACAGAAGGTCTTCCTCTCTGTCTCTTTTCTTCTCTGTATATCTGACTTTCCAATAAAAATAAATCTTTTAAAAAGATGAATAAATCTCAGGAAAAAAAAATTGGACTGCCTCACAGACATGAGAGAAACATGATCAGAGATGTCCACCAAATAACACTAAACTGATTTTTGTTTTGTGGTAAACTGTGTTTGGGAGAATATTTCTCACACAATAAATTCATTGTAGTTTGTTGGGTCCTTTATTCATTCGTGGATTTCCCACAAATATTCTTGTTAATAGCAGTGAATGAGATTCCTACTGTTCTGTTCAGGAGCGGCAGAGCCGGTGTGCCCTGGGACAGCTCCCATTGTGAAGGGAAGAAGGTAGGGGGATGTATGTCTCAGAGATGCCTCCTGCTCATTCACACTAGGGCTCCCCCAGAACGTTGGGAGTTGTGCTGAACTGCTCCCCACCTGAAGGATCTGGTACACCCCAGGTATTTCTTCAATCATTTGTTCATTCAACCGTTCTCTTAACAAATCACTGTCAACCACTTATTGCTTAGAACCAGTCCAAAAAAGGCATTTCCTGCCCTTCCCTCATCCTCTTGTACCTGTAACCTTTACCCTCCTCACCTGTAACCTTCTCTGGGACTGACCCATTTGAGCTGCCAGCAGCCAGCAGCAAGCAGCCAGCAGCCAGGCCTGCTGCCTCCCTGCCATGGTCACAGTCAAGGACAGGAGCATCCCTTGTCTGCTCATGGCTGGAGAGTGAACATGGATCTCCCTTCTGATGTCCCATATGCTCCATTTCTAGGTGCAGAAGAAAAGGGAGAAGAATTTGCCAGAATGCTCACAGAGCTCCTTTTTGAATTACACGTGGCAGCCACACCTGACAAACTCAATAAGGTGAGCACATGCAGTTCTGAGAGAGTGTGCGTGCACATTTGTGCACATGTGCCTGCATGCCATGTTCAAGGGTCCCATTGTAAAATCCCGCAGAGCCACCTGAAATAGAAAAGCTGAACCCCATGTGCACAGTGAAGGGAAGGAAGTTTGGGGTTGGTTATTAACATTCAGGGGGCATTGTGATGCCATGAGGTGGGAGAACATGCTCACCCGGGACCTGAGGCACACATTTGTGTTGCTTTGCAGTTAATTACCTGGTGTACTTGAGCCTCTTACCCACTGCAGGTCAGGCAGCAGAGCAGTGAACAGCTTCAAGACCAGGAAAGAGGAGGATGGGGAAACACTGCAGGGTATGTGTGTTCCTGTTGCAGCCGCTCCCCCACTAAGGAGTAGCTCCAGGGCCAGGCAACATGAGGCCCACCAGCTAGCTGGCTGGACCCCATGACCTCTGCCACCTGCAGTGCCTCTGCTGTGTCTTAAGAACATCCCAGGTCTACTAGCCCCTGCTAATCACACGCAGTGTTTCATTACTTGAGAAGCCACCGACCATTAACTACTGAAAACCCTGTGGCATTTTCCCATTCCTCCCTCCCCGCTCCCACCCCCATCTCCCTTTGCCCTCGTTCCTTTCTGGAACACTGGTGCACCTAGACCCTCACTTATCAACATGGACAAGGAAAAGGCAGAATGAGACAGTGAGGTGGTGGGATGAATAATTTCCTTATCTCTTTTTTTAATTTAATTTTTTTTTAATTTTAATAATCTTAGTTGATTAGGGTACAAAGGGCCAAGGGCTACAGGGTGAAAGTGGGTAATATCATTGTTTCCACACTAATATAATCATTTTGCCCTGTATCTGGGGTTAGGGGAGTAACAAAGGGAAAAGCCCCACCCAACCTCCCACCCATCCCCGATCCCCGACATAAGGCACACTCCAAGGGTCCTACTCAAACAGTTTTGATAGTTCAGCAGTTCTGGATTACTGCCAATCTTACCGTCCCATCCACAATGAAACCTATTCAGAGTCCACTGGCTGACAGTCTCTTGATGGTTGGGGTTCCAAGATCAGCAGTTCAGTTGGAGAGATGTCCAAAGAAACATCATCTGAGATGATCTCAGATCTGATTCTTGCGTGAGTGTGCTAGTACAGACTCCAACACCATTTGTCACACCAATCAGTTTATGCACATGCTGGTCATTGCAACTGCTGGGTCCGTTCGATTTCCAGCCCCATCTTCCTCGTGAACCAACGAGTATTGTAGTCCAGCTCGATTCTACCCACTTCATACTTGGTCCTCACGCAAACCAGTTGGAGTTGCAGCCTAGTTGGGGCGACTCCCCCAAACCCCTACCAGTTCTGCCCCCTACCCTGGTTCCCATGCTTGCCAGTATGTACCGCAGGCTTGTCCAGTCTGTCCCACATCCCATTTAGCTCTTGCACACATCAACGGACATTGAAGTCTAGTTCAACCCAACCAACCTATTATCCAGCCCATACACCTACTGGCAGGTGCCTTTCTGTGTAGCCACCCCTGCCCCTATCCTGGTTTTCGTGCTGTCCAGTGAGGGTGGTAACCCTGAGGGAGGTGCCCACTATTTCCCAACTAGGCCATACCCACTCCCAGATTATGCAGTCTCCAGGTGGTTTTGGCATTTGACTTGACAGAATTAGCTCTGCCAGCTAATGCTGTGGCTAAGCCTAAACACCCCTCAACCCACTCTAATTTTTACTTGCACCAGTCGGAACAGTCAGCTCACCATGAGGCCCACAGGTGGTATAGCCCTGCCTAGTTTGAACTGCCCCCATCCCAATTCACGCTTTCCAATGGAAGTAATTACTGATTCTGGCATGTCAATGACTTGAACACAGTGGGAAATTATCTCATTCATCTCCCTGCAGCACCTGCCACCACTGCTTATGGAGGGGGTGGGCAGTGGGACCCCAAGGTTGCATGGGCTTGTTTACCTGGTCAGGATAAATGTTAGTTCCTAAAGGGACTGTTGTGTTGGTTTTTCTCTTCCCCAAATCTGTTTGGCAATAGCTTGGCATTCTATACTCTGATGTGTTAAAGTTTGATGCCCATACTTTAAGGGGAGAAAGCATGGCAGTGTAACCCCGGAAGATACCATTACTTGGGCCAACAGCTTAAACAGCTGTGATAAAATTGGACAAACCTGCTTCTTCTACATTTAGAAAAAAAATAGCAGCAGATAGGCATAATGGTTTCTGCTGCTTTAACTTAGCTATGACTTGCAAGGCCACGGATTGCTTAAACAGCGCTCATGTAGAGTTAAACTCAGTCACAGGGCAGGTGACCAGCCTGTTGGTTAAGTTCGCCCTGTCCCTCAGTGGGAAATGCCAGGATGCCACCTTCTTGCCAGCACAGACCCTGGGAGGCATCAGTGATGGCACAAGTGATTGGGTTCCTGCCACCCATGAGGGAAACCCGGTTGGAGCACCCAGCTCTGGCCACTGCCGGTGTTTGGGGACTAAACCAGTGAATGGGACTGTGCTCTTTCTCTGTCCCTTTGCCTCTCAAATACATAAGCTAATAAAATCAGTGTTTTAACCCCACCACAGAGCAGCTGCAGGTCTTTCCAGAGCTTTCCTCTCACCTCTGTGATGTTAAAAGACTTCTGTGAGGCCAGAAGAGCAGAGCCATCTCATCTCCCCAGCTTACTATGTGATTAGGCTTATAAAACAGTATGAGCTTCCTGGGGCCCATCAGATGAAATTGCTTTAGCCATGGCCTTGGCTAAATTTCCAACCTGTGTAGAAAAAAAGGGTTGTTATTCTTTGATAGTGGATCATGAAAAGTGAGAAATATACTACAGATCTTCCAGTGTGACCATTGCTTTTGTTATCCCAGTACCATTTTTAAGTGCTTCTTTAGAAGTGCTAGAGCAGGCATTTGGCTTAGCAATTGAGACATCACTTGGGATACCCATGTTGCATAGCAGAGGACCTAGATTCAAGCCCTTGCTCAGTTTCCAATTCCTGCTTCCTGCTAATGGGTACCCTGGGGGAAAGCCAGTGATGACTCAAGCAGTTGGGTCCCCTGGCGCCCACCTGGGAGACCTGAATTCCCAGTGTCAGCCTGCCAACCCTCTGTCGTTAGCATTTCAGGGAATGAGGTAGCACCTGAGAGCGCTGTAAGAGGCTGTCTCTCTGCCGCATAAGTAAACCAGTTTTTTGAGTTGCATTGTGTGTGTGTTTTTTTTTTTAATTTATTAACTTTTACTGAAAGGCAGATTTGGGCCCAGCGCCATGGTCTAGTGGCTGAAGTCCTCGCCTTGAACGTGCCAGTTTCCCATATGGTCACCGGTTCTAACCCCGGCAGCTCTACTTCCCATCCAGCTCTCTACTTGTGGCCTGGGAAGCAGTTGAGGACGGCCCAATGCCTTGGGATCCTGCATCCTTGTGGCAGACCTGGAAGAGGTTCCTGGCTCCTGGCTTCAGATTGGCACGGCACTGGCCGTTGTGGTCACTTGGGGAATGAATCATCGGACAGAAGATCTTCCTTTCTGTCTCTCCTTTTCTCTGTATATCTGACTTTGTAATGAAAATAAAATAAATCTTTAAAAAAAAAAAGAAAGATTTACAGAGAGATTTACAGAGAGAAAGAGATACAGAAAGATCTTCCATCCGCTAGTTCTCTCCCCAGGTGGCTACAACAGCTAGAGCTGACCTGATCCAAAGCCAAGCAGCTTCTTCTGGGTCTCCCACACGGGTGCAGGGTCTCAAGGCTTTGGACCATTCTCTGCTGCTTTCCCAGGTCTCAAGCAGGGAGCTGGATGGGAAGTGGAACAGCCAAGACATGAACTGGCACCTATATGGGATCCCAACACATGCAAGGTGAGGATTTAGCCACTAGGCCATTCATTGTACCAGACCCTCAAGTAAATTAGATTGTTAAAGATTTATTTATTTGTGTTGAAAGAGCTACACAGAGAGAGGGAGAAACAGACAGAGGGTATGATTTGTTTTCCATTCACTAGTTTACTGCCCAGATCTCCACAGTCGCTGACATTGGACCAGGCCAAAGCCAGGAGCCAGTATCCACTGGGTCTCCCATGTGAGTTTCAGGTGACCAAGTGCTTGGGCCACCTTTTGTTGTTTTTCCAAGGCCATGAGCAGGGAGCTGAATTGGAAGTGGAATAGCCAGGAAATGAACTGGCACCATATGGGATATCAGCATTGCAAGTGGAAGTTTTTCCCACTTCATCACACCACTAGCCAATAATGTTTTGGCATCTGCAGCCTCTGCTGTGTTCTCACCAGACATTTTTTTCTCTTCTGTCCCCTTTCATACTTTATTTGTTTACCAGAAAACAATGATATGGCTATCTTTTAAGAAGATAAAGGAAGGCCCCTTCACTTCTTAAAAATGTTTATTTTCATCTACTTGAAAGGCAGAATGAGAGGGAGAGAGAGAAGAAAATCTTCCACTTACTGTTTCACTCTCCAAATGCCTGTAACAGCCAGAGCTGGGCCAGGGTAGAGAAGCCAGGAGGCTGGAACTCCATCCCAGTCTCCCATTGAGTGGCAGAACCCAAGTGCTTAGGTGCTTAGGTTACCATCCAAGGACGTGTGAGCAGAAGGCTGGATTGGAAGCAGAGATGCACAGAGTTGGGGCCAGCACTCTTGTAAGGTATGTTGGTGTCCCACACAACAGCTTCGTGTGTTGTGCCAGAACCCCCACACTAACCCCCATTCCTTTTTAAACATACAGGACCCACTCTAGACACAAAGAGCGGCTTAAGTCTAGTGGGGTAGGAATCCATTGGGCTGCCTATTTGCATAGTAAGTACATTTTTGATTGGGCACCTCTGTAGGCCATGAAGAAAGCTCATGACTGGGTGGAGGAGGAACAGACCATGGTGTCAGTAGATGTGGCCCAAGAGTCAGAGCAGGAAATGAAGAAGGAAGACAAGGAGGATAATCCTGGAAGCTCTCAGGACAAACAGGAAGAGAAGAGAACCAAAAACATAGAGGTGAGTCTGTTCTAGATTGTCCCGTTTATCTAAGTGAGAAGATAGTGTTTTCTTTTCCATTTGTATCCTGTGCAACATTATAGAATATACATAGGAATCAAATAAACATAAAATTTCTCTGTGCCAGTAGCAGTCCTGGCTTTGCATAGATTTTTTGTTTTGTTTTGTTTTGTTTGTTTGTTTGCTTTCCTCCATAGTCTTACCATTATAATTTCAAGAAGAAAAAATCTTTAACACCATGGTCAACTGACCTTTTCAGTAAAACTGTTATATGTAAATGTGTTCATATAAAATGTCTTTATGTCTCATAGCTAATGGAGTAAATGATGAAAACTTTCTTTTAAAAAAAATCATTGCTGTACTAGTAGTTTATAGTTCAATAAATTTCTATGTGCATAATTTAAATCTTGTCAATGTTCAGAAAAGGAGTGTAAAGGGCAGGTCTTTGGCCTAGTAGTTTTCTAAAATATCTCTTAGATACCCAAGTCCTAAGTTGGAGTTCCTGGGTTTGAGTTCTGGATTTCATTCTCAATTCCAGCTTCCTGCTAATATGCACTCATATTCAGGTGCATGGCTTAAGTACTTGGAAGTGATGGCTTAAGTACTTGAAAGTGGTCTTGCTCTACCCCTGTGAACCCAGGAGCACTTCATTTCATGGCAGCATTCCACTTAGGGAAATCTGAAGTGCACCAATCACCTCCAGGGAAACCTTTTCCTATCATGATTGATGGTTGTTTAGGAGTCTTGTATCATTTTTTGTATGTCACAAAGCTTTAAAAAAAAAATAGCGTTGGTTCAGCAAATGATTTCTTACTTGTACTTATTTATTCCAGGAAGTATACATGTTATCCATTGAAAGTCTGGCAGAAGTTACTGCACGCTGCATTGAGCAGCTTCATAAAGTAGCAGAATTAATTCTTCATGGACAAGAAGAAGAAAAATCAGCTCAGGAGCAAGCCAAAGTTCTGATAAAGTAACTCTTCCTTTATCATTTGAATTTCTATTTTTCCAATTCAGATATATACAGATATATATGTATGTATGTATGCGTGTCACTCAGCTATTACACATGCATATATACCCTCAACAAATAGCAGTTCAGGTTTCCAGGTAACTCATTCATTTGTTCTTTAGTCACCTTAAGCAATGCAGGCTCCCTTAAGAAATGCATTATGTTAACAAAAAAGCAGTTAAGAAGACATCCTAGGAATTATTTATGAAGAAATTTAAGGGAAGAGACACTGAATCATTTAGAGCTAAGAAATGTTTATTTTAGTAGATTGAAATCTTAGAAGTAGAGAACTTGGAGCATAATTATCATTTCAATGCTAGGCTGTAACTTCTCAGCTAGCTTGGCAAGCATGGCCCAGCAAACTGCCCTGTACCTAAGGACTTTGACCACGCAGACATGCTCTGACCTCAGGGGTAGATAGAAGGTCTCTAATGCAGGCCGGTTCACAGAGGATGGTGTGTGTGCTAGTGTAACTTACGTATCATGTCTTCAATGAATGGTAGCTATTTTGTTAGCTTGTTTAATGAAATAAAAATGTTTGTGTGTGAACCAAAAAAAGCACCCTGAAAATATATGGGGACATATGCGCTTCCTGGTACTAATGTTCCCTTTACCAGCTAACCAGTCTGCTTACCTCTGCATTGGCATTGTGGGCTGGGGAGCAGATTTTTAGTTGAAAGATCTTCCAAAAGGTCAGTATCAATATGTTTGTCTGGGGACATTTACTTCATTTTGTAACACTTCGTCTTGTCTAGATTTTTATCTAAACATGTAAAAATCGAAGAAGTTATAAGAAATACATACTTCCCACTATTCCTATAAGGAATATGTATTTACATCAGTGTAGAAAATGAGGAAAAAAGGACAAAGTAGGAAAAACAAAATTTTGAGGACAACATTTCAGTACTATTTCATCTTTGCAGTACTGGTTTGGAAGGGAAGGGCTCGAGTTCAAAAGTTCCCCAGGACTGACAGGACCCTCCCTTTAGCTCCTCTCTGGTTCCTAGCCCTGATGATGCCAGGATTACCAAGCTGCAGCAAGCCCTTGTGTCTCTGTATTGTAAGTTCTATTCCACTCACCTGCCCTAGGTGCAGAGTGACTCCGTGCTGTCTCCGGTCTGGCTGTTAATCCTTTCCACAGACAAGTTGTGGGTGGTTGAGTGAATTTAGATCTGTACAAAGGAGTTAGATAGGGCATGTGTTTGGTAAAACCTACCTCTGCTGACCTCACTAGATCTTTTAACATATAATGTTCCTAATGGGTTGTTGTTTTATAAGAGCATTTTAGTCACTATTCATAGAAGTCACATAAAATTAACATTATGAGAAAGAATACTCACATTGTTAGGAAATTAGATTTGCTCTTCATTTCTGTCATCATTGTAATTTTGGATGACATTGTTTTGGTTTAATATTCATGTTCATGTTGCATATTTTCTTGGAGTAAAGTCCTAGATATGGGTTAACTAAAGTAAACTTGGAATTTTGAGGTATCTTAAAAAATATTCTCCAGGATCTTTGAGACATCTAATAAAAATATGATCAAAATATTAAGAGATATCAGAGTTTAATCCTACCTCTACAATTTATTACTGCGTGTCCAAAGCAGGCTAGTTAATAACTTCCTTAAAGTTTCTTTGTTTATGTAAAATGAGTGCAGTAATAGAACTTGTAAGGTCTTTATGAGGATTAAATAAGCATACAGAAGTATATAACGTAGGGCCTTGGCAAATGTTTATTATTATTTTACAATGACCAAAAGACTAGGGACCAGCCACCTGTCAAGGCTTTGCACCCGCTGTCAACGCTGAGCTCAAGCCTCGTATTCCTCTGCATGTACTTCTGAAGAGATGTCAGGTGAGTCAGGTGACTCTCTTTTCCTAAAGGCTGGAGAGAGGCTCAGGTTTAGATTGCACTGGCTGAATCCTGGAATGTTGTTGAGGAGAGCAGTGGGAGTGCACGTTTCTGTAGCACACCTGCTCACTGCATCCTGTTCTTTGTCATGAAATACTGAGTGCAAACAGTAAAACATTGTACATCACTGCAAACCTCTTTTTTCCATCTCATTTCAGGTTAACTACTGCAATGTGCAAAGAAGTGGCCTCTTTATCAAAGAAGTTTACCAATTCCTTAACCACTGTTGGGGTAAGATTACAATCTTGGTCCCTGTGTCGCCTGGTTTAAGGAAGGTGGGGACAGCGGGGGTAGCATGGAAAAGTACAGGATGCAGCACCATTCCTGACAGCTCCAATACCGTGATGAGTGCCAAGGTCAGGCCAGGGGCCCTCTCTCTCATGACCAGCAGTGTGGGGCTGTCCTCTGATGGGTCCCAGCTCGAGTCTGCCATCTCAGACATACAGGATAGCATGTGAGTATTTGAACCTCTGTGAGTTCTGTTGTCTTTGTTGTTAAAAAGGCAATTGTCAAGTCAAAGTTCTTCTCATCACTTAATGTCAGCAAAGTGTCTGACTCAAGCATCTCCATTGGGGCAGCTAGGGCTGGAAGGAAGATTGGGACTCTGTGGTTCTGATGGAGTCTCAGGAGGTGGCAGAAGGGTGAGTCTCCTGATCCAAGGTCCGCTTTTTATGCAGCGGGACTTCAGCAACTGGGTGCGCACTTGACAGGGAGACTTCAGAAGGCTCATGGAAAAAGGCATGCTAGAAAAAAGCCATGAGTAGATTCCAAAATAATTTTTGTACCAAAAGAAAAATGCCTTTTGAAATTCCATTTCTCCATCAACCTTTTTGTTTGTTTTGTTTAAAAGACAGAGAGACCTTCCCTCTGTTGGTTCACTCCCCAGAATGCCTACAGAAGCCACATCTGGGCCACCAGGAGCCAAGAGCCCAGAACTCAGTTCAGGTCTCTTCATGTGCAGATGACAAGGACCCTAGTCCTGCAGTATCAAGAAGCTGGATTAGAAGCAGTGTAGACCGGACTTACACCCGCCTAGTGTGGGATGCCGGCATCTCAAACCGAGCTGTAACCACCACACCCAGTATTTACCCTGCACGGACTTGTTGAAGTCCTCTTGCATGCAGAACATCAGGAACACACACATTACCTGGTAAAAGACAAAGCCTGCAATGCCATCTGCCAGCAGTGGTACACAGGAGATCTTGTGCTGATCTTGTCCTCTGGTAAAATATTGACATCAAGGCCTCTTTTCTGTTCTCAGAAACAGTCATTACTCATAGCTTGAAGTTAATGAGTGTGTATCGTTCTCCAGACTCTATTTAAATTGCTACACATCTCATTGATTCTGAAAACCAATATCATTTTATTGCCTGCATTTTGATTATATTCTAGGGGTTTATTGATAATCAAATAAACATGAAAGCAAATACCATTGTGGATTTTCCTGTTACTTATTAAAATGACTGTGTTTTTAAAAGAGCTTTTCCCCAAGACTCCATTATGGTTTCACCAGTACAACAGCACTCCACCCCCTCTTCTTTTCCCCTCACTACCCCCAGCAGAGTCATGTCAATGACAGTGGGCTGTTCTGGAATGATATGTTTAATGTAAATGCTTTTTTCTTTTTTTTTTTTTTTTTTACCACAGACTCTTCTAGGTATAACAGGGGAACTGATCTGTTAAAATTACCCTTTTGTCCCCAGGCCCTTAAATGGGTCATTGTCCAAGAATAGGGTCCACACTGTACGTAGAGAGATGTTTGATTGATAGCCCAATAGCAGAGACAAGGATAACGATGCTGATACCAGCTCCCACTTCTCGACCAGCTGCTTTATGCCAGGCCCTTTGCTTCCTGTTTCGTCAGACTCTGGCTCTACAGGCCTAGTTTGCAAATGTAAGAATGTTTCAGAGGTGAGCATTGAGCCTAGCACGCCACTGGGATGCTGGTTAAGCTGTCCGCAGCATGAAGAACCTGGATTTGATACCCAGCTCTAGTTTCTAGCTCCAGCTTCCTGCTAAAATAGACCCTGGGAGGCAGCAGATGATGGCTGAGGTAATTTGATTTCTGCCACCCACGTGGGCAATCTTAATTCAGTTCCAGCTTTAGCCCAGCCTGGCCCTGGCCAGGTTGCAGGCATTTGGGAAAGAAGCCAGCAGATAGGAGTGGGAGTGTTTTCTCTCCCCTTCCCTCTTCTGCTGCACAAATAAAGATTTATTTATTTTTATTGGAAAGATGGATATACAGAGAGGAGGAGAGACAGAGAAGAAGATCTTCCATCCGATGGCTCATTCCCCAAGTGGCTGCAACAGCTGGAGCTGAGCCAATCCGAAGCCAGAAACGAGGAGCCTTCCTGGTCTCCCACGCAAGTGCAGGGTCTCAAGGCTTTGGGCCGTCCTTGACTGCTTTCCCAGGCCACAAGCAGGGAGCTGGATGGGAAGCGGGGCTGCCGGGATTAGAACCAGTGCCCATATGGGATCCCAGTGTGTTCAAGGAGAGGATCTTAATCACTGTGCTCCCATGCCATGCCCACAAATATATTTTTTAAATATACAAATCATGGGATCCTACCTCAAACTTAGAGTAGAAAAACAAAACAGTAAGAAGTTTTTTGTTTTAAGAAAAGATTTGTTTTATTTTTATTGGAAAGTCAGATGTACAGAGAAGAGGAAAGATCTTCTGTCCGCTGATTCACTCGCCATACAGCTGCAACAGCCAGAGCTGAGCTGATCCGAAGCCAGGAGCCCAGAGTTTTTTCCATGTCTCCCACATGGGTTCAGGATCCCAGGCTTGGGGCCATCCTTGACTGACTTCCCAGGCCACAAGCAGGGATCTGGATGGGAAGAGGGGCTGCCGGGATTAGAACCAGCACCCATATGGGATCCTGGCGCTTGCAAGGCAAGGACTTCAGCTGCTAGACTACCGCACCGGGCAAAGAAAGAATGTTTTAACGTTGCTGTTCATCTGGAGGATGCTCTGTAACCAAGAACCCAAGTGTATATTTAAAAGAAGAAGAAGGAAAGAAAACTAATACTAATACCGGACCAGGGTAGGGACTAGGGTGAGAGAGTGAAGGGCTTAGCTCACTTGCAAAATTTGAAAGGGTCCAAAAAAAGGAAGAATAAAAAGCAGAAAGCTAGTGACGTTTTTAACACAATACTTTTAAAAATAAAATTGCGAAACTATCATGATAAAATATTAACATTTTAAGAATTTAAGAGTCCAACTGTGTTTACTTGGTAAAATTCAGCATCACTCACCTCCCTCCACTATCAGGTCTGAGTCTGAGCTCCTAGCAGTGTGACCTTTCGCAAGTCACTTGGTGTTCCTCTTCACTGCTTTTTCATCTTCAAGTTGGAGTTGTCACAGTCTCTGCCTTAGTGAGATGACGTGGGTGACACGCCAGGTGGGATGCTTGGTCTCCAGTAAGCTTGCCACACCTCCTCGGTCGATGTATTTACTCCAAAGTGGATGCCTTGGCGAATGTGCATCTAATCTGTCGATTTCCTCCTATTGACCCACAGAGTGACAAGAAGGCGGAGGTCCTGAACCCCATGATCAATAGTGTCTTGTTGGAGGTAAGTGGCTCCCAGAGAGAGAGAGAGAGAGAGAATGAGTAAAGGCACCTAGAATCAAAGCAGGTGTTCGCACTACTTTTTCTCTGCCTTTCTGACAGGCTTTCTGTGTTATTTCCATTCTAAAGCCCATCGCCAACATTCTGTTTTCTTTTTAAGCACATTTGTGCAGCTCAACCAGCTGTAAACCTACCAGTGAGGCAACAGGGCCTAATTTTCAGGAATTCTGAAGCTTGCACATTAGTTGGGTTGCCATTGCCTTTCTGTGGAAGCAGATATCCACCTCTAAGTCTGACCTTTAGTACTGTGAGAGTCCACCATAATGAGGCAGTGCTGCTGCTCAGTCGTGATTTTCGGAAAGCAGGGCGTGGCACAGTGGGTAAGGAAACCCTTGGTTTGGCTGGGCCTATGCTGCAGGCTAGCAGCCAGGGCACGTGGGAAGTGTCATGCTTGCTTGCTCAGTGATAGTGACTAGGGTCCTGTGACCACTCACCAAGGATGCGGCAGCATCCCTCGCACAGGTAGGACACTGCCTCAGTACAGCTGCAGCTGTGCCACAAAGAACTATATAAGACAGAAGAACAAGGCTTGGGAAGATATGCTTCTCATTCATTTGTCACACTCTGGTGTTTGAGCTGGAGTTAGCATCTCCCATGAGGGATCACACTAAGAAATTGGCATATCGACATCCCACCTAAAGCACCCAGCTCCTGCCACAAGACATCAATAAGCCAAGTTGACCATGAGAATGTAAATATGGCAGTTTCTTGCTTTTTGAAGTGGCTGTCAGGGACAGAGTCTAAACCTCAGGTTGGATACTGATATATTTATAGTGATGTTTTTGGGAATTGTGCCTTCCTGTTAAGAACAATTACCAAGCTACAAAAATAGCAAAGTGGTGACACCAAGGATGATTGTTTAGGATGGAACCACACTGGTGTGGAGTTGACCAGAAGACAGTAACTCTAGTAGCTGGTTCTGCAGGGACAGACCCAGCGGTTAGATTATACCTGAGAAATTTGTCCCCAACCACCCAGGAGGCAAAAGCAGCTGAATTTACCTTGTTAGTCATAACAAAGATAAGCATATGTTTCTTTATTTTTCCCATGGGAAGTGGTTTTCTGTTTTAGTTGAAAAGGCAGAGTGGTCTTCCATCCACTGGCTCACTCCCCAAATGGCCACAGTGGCCAGAGCTGAGCAGATCTAAAGCCAAGAACCAGAAGCTTTTTTCTGGGTCTCCCATGTGGGCACAGGGTCCCCTGGCTTTGGGCCATCCCTCACTGCCTTCCCGCAGCATAAGCAGGGAACTGAATTGGAAGTAGAACAGCCAGGGCACAAACCAGCATCCATACAGAATGGTGGTGCCTCAGGTGAAGGATTAGCTTGCTAATCTACAACAGCAGCCTCAGGTTGCCTAACATTTAAGTAGGTTCCCAATAGTGTTTGTGAGTTCACTGCAGAATCTGACTAGGAGCAAATATGTAAACCAAGAAACTAACAGGCCAAGGGGGGCGGGAGGTGACAGTGTTCAAGGAGTTTCCATGAATCATTGCACAAGAATCCAGTTAGCTTTGTGTGTGCTATCCTTGTTCATTTGTCTGTAGGTGAGGATGATCTGCCTGCCTTCCTGCTGTGCTTTTTGTTTCAGTTCAGTGCAGTAGAGCTGATCTGGGGAAAGGGGAGGTAACACTGACATACTGGGTCACAAATATGCACACACGGATCTACCTCCAACTCCATGGGAATGGCTGGCCTCTTTGGAGTGTGTTTCTCTGTTAGTATAGATGGAGACTTGGCCACATGCCATCCAAAAGGCTGGATTGGCATTCACTTGAAATACCAACATTTCAAGCACAGTAGATCCAATACTGCAGGATTTACCAGGGAGTATTGTCAGGTGGGAGAGCCTGGCAAGCCTGAACTTGGAAAATAACCCTGCGGTTTCTTGTCTCCCTGTCCCCAGGGCTGCAACAGCACCACGTACATCCAGGATGCCTTCCAGTTGCTGCTGCCAGTCCTGCAAGTGTCCCACCTCCAGACCAGCTGTACACGGGCATAGCTGGGACCTTGCCAGAGCCCAGCTGAGGAGAGGAAATGGTAGGCCGCATTGCCTCCCTGTGTGTGCCATCTAAGGGATGCTCTGCATCCCAGCCTCAGAAGGCCGAGTGAGGACACTACAAGCAGCTCTGCACAGATGGGAGCGAGAGGACCAGGATAAAGAGCATCATCGTCTCTTAGTGCCTATGCTTGTTGATGAGTAATTGTATTTTCTTGATGTTAATTTAAACTTATGTGGCTTACATGGACATTTTTTAAATCTGATATTCGTTCACAAACATTCCTATCCATTTTCCTAGTCAAGCATGCTCTATCTGGAAATTGATGGGCATACTTGAAATTTCTAGAATTCTTTAAATTTCTGCATTTCCATGTCCCATTCTTACGGTATGTGAAATTAAGTCTAATACTGAACTTTGTCTTATTACCCAAATGCCATGGGCAAAAATAACACTACTTACAGATTTTATCTCTTATAGCGAAAGAGGAGCCAAGATATCTATAGTCATTTCTTGCTGTAACAAGCTTTATTGAGTACCTTCTGTATGCTCACAATAAAGAAACATGATTTTGAGGCAGGTGTCTTGGCATAACAGGCTAAGCAATTGCTTTAAACAATTGCATCCCATATTAGAGTGCTTATTTGAGTCCTAGCGACTCTAGACTCTATTTCCTATCCAGTTCCCTATTAATTTGCCTGGAAAGCAGCAGAAGATGATACTTGAGTCCCTGCCGCCCTGATGGAGTGCCTGGCTCCTGGCTTCAGTCAGATGCAGCCACAGATGTTGCGGCCATTTGGGGAATGACCCAGTAGATGGAAGATCTTTCTCTCTGTCTCATTCCCTGTACCTCTCAAATAAATACATCTTTTTATTAAAAAGAAAGATGGCTTCACCCCAGTAAAGACAGATTTCTGAAGAACGCTTTACAAAACCAATTGGTCCTTCCTATCCTTTAAATATCCTTTATATAAAGTCTCACCTTCCACCTTTTTATGCAAAATTTTAAATATGAGGCGAAGATATGCATGAATGGGGAGACTTGGAAATACTTAGTTTCAGATTGATCTCTCGTGGTCATAAGCACATGATGGCACAGTGACGAAGCTTGGAAGGATTCACCAAGAGCGCTCAGGGTGCTTCAGCGTGGGGACTGCAGGTACGTGTTTACAAATCTGCACAACTCGTGGTCGCTGATGGCAAAGGCCTTCGTCACCTCTGCTGTGTGGATTGACCAGCTGGCACAGTGAGTCGCAGGAGGCTGTGCAGGTATCCCAGCCACTTTGAGGAGTGCCCTTCCCCAGCTCCCACAGTCTTTGCAGGCTTCTGTGGATGCCCCACTGTTACAAGCCTACAGACACTGTGGCATGAAGGCTTGCCTGGTGTTCCATCTCAAGGGCAAATGATGTCTGTGGTTTTGCAAGGGTCTGTATTTCTCACTCACATTGGTTTTATTCTCCTGCAAAGCCAACTCTCTTTGCTGCATTCAGGCATAAGTAGGGATATTTTAATACCAGGCACTTTCTTGTTAGCATGTGAGTGTCTCCTGGAACAAATAGGAAGCATTGGAACAGTTTATAATGTGGAAAGAGAAGATGGTCAGAGGATTCAATTAAAGATTTATGTGGGTCTCCATTTTTAATTGTCTGAAATGTTTCTGTTGTTAAGACTGAAGAATAGTTAGCTGATAAGAATTTTATAAAAATTTTATTCACATATTTTAGACTTTGCATAGAGTAAAAAGAAAGAATGTACATTTTGGATTTAGTCATATCCTTTTTTTTTATATCAAGTGGATTTAAAAGTAAACTTACAGAAGAGAAACAAATATTTTCAAAGAGAATAGGTCCCAGTGTTCCACATTAATTCTAACGGCATTCATCTCATGCATATGGCAGATTTTTAAACTGTGAAACAAAATGAGAGAAATAGTCCCCCAGAAAAGTAGTTGGCAATATTCCTAACTGCATTAACCTTTGAGTGAGAGAGAGAATGAAAAGTTGCCAGGAAGAGACCCAGGGCAGAAGGTGATGCTTGGGCCCTCCATCATCTGCGAGTGACTTTCTGTCTGAGAGAAGAATAATTTAAAATATACCTGCCCTGAAGGGGTTTAGACTGCTGGTAGGATTTTCACCACTTTTAAATAATTGCTTCTTTGCTTTGGAACGTGGCAGATCTAGGCAAGTGTCAGTCAGGGACTGAGTGGTTTAGCAGGCTGACCTCAGAAGTTTTGTATTCCTTCAGTAAATCCTTTCCATAGATTGGGATCATTTCCCTTTCTGCAATTACCTTGAACAGGCAATCCAGCTTTTTCCTTACATCAAGTGCAAAATAAGTTCAACTCTGAGTAATGAATGCAGTCCTGTGCCTGTGCCTTATTAAATAAAAAGCATCAAAAGCAGCTTTCAAATTCAAAGCAGATTGTATTCCAGAAAAACTGCTTTTGGGTGTTGATACATACAGATCTAAAAGACAAAATGAAGTCCAAAACCTTAAAGCACAGGCAGGCCTAAGCTGAACTATTCTCTCCCACGGAGGACGGGCATTCTCTATTTCCTCCCAATCTCACACTGGGCTGCACACCAAGCTCAGAGTTAAATGAATGGTAGGAGTCTAGAGTCCATTGCAGGAGAGAGCAAAGACACACAGCCATCCCAGCAGTACCTGCTGAGAAACTGTGGACATCGGCTGCTGGACTCAGGGATGAGGCAGCAACAACCCTGGGCGGGCTGCAGGAGTATGCTAAATGTGCTGTGGGGCTGGACACACAAGAACCAGAGTGCCCCTTGAACTTTGTGGAGATGTGCTGTCTGGAGGTGCTCCCATGTCTGCCACGTCACCTGTGCAAGCTGAATGTGCTGCTCTTACTAACAGAGGCAGACAGAGTCCCCTCAGGGCCATGTTAGAAATGGCCCAGAGAAGTAGTTTAACAAAATTTGTAAGGAATGCTTCATGATTTTCCTTTCTTTAGGAGTGTGTGTGGGTGTGCATGTGTGTGTGTGTGTACTGAACACATGAAATTGATCCTAACACATGCCTTCAGATAAAAGCAGCTATTCTTGGGGTCAAGCCATTTTCTTTTGTCATGTCAAAAGCGCCCTTTGATCTGGCTGTTGTGTGTGTCCTACATTCTGATAGGCACAGGATTTCACTTGGAGTCAGAAAGCCCTGTGTTTGAAAGGCACATCAGAGGAGAGAGCCTGTGAAAATCCCTCTGAGAACTGCAGTTTTGCTGTGGCTTTTTTGTTGATTAAAATGTGTAATTCCCCAGGAGTGGATTCAGGGCGGCCATTCTGAAGGTATAAAGGAAAGCAATGATGTGGTTAACCCAGGGTCTTCTGTTTTCTACACTTGGCATCCCTGGGGCAGCTTCACGCTCCTGCATCTCCTGTATTCTCCCTCTGCCAGCCCGTCCACAGGGCTGTCTGCTCCCCAGCCAAGCTCTGGCAAGGCAACATTCCATTGCTTTTTTCTTTTCTTTTTTTTTTTTTCTTTTGTTAGACCCTGACACTTACCTGAGTTACTCTAACCTCTGCACACTGTACCGTTAGCAATGATTAGTGTTGACGCGCCTGCCAATTCTAGTGTGTTGGGCCCTCCTGGCCCGGGAGCAGAAGCTGATTAGGGAGGGCCAGGATTCTATGTGAGGTTTCAACTATGTTTAGCTTGATCTGAATCAGCCAGGATTTTTTCCACTCTGCATGAGCTGTCAGCCAAAAAGCAGTAGGATTATGGTAGCCTGTGGCCACTGTGGACTCACCTGGTTGACCTGTCTCGCCCAGTCATTGCAGAGGTACTCTGTCATGCAGAAGAATAACATAGATATGTTTTAAGTACCTTCCCCAGCTCCATTAAAGTAGAGTGATTCAGAGAGGTCTGTGTGCCTACCCTGGATTTCATCACTGGGCTCGGAAGCTGCCATTTGGAAGCAAAAGCCAGGATCAAAGCCAAGGCCAGATGGAGGAAACCTTGGCAGAAAACAGTCGAGTTTCTGCCCTTCAGTCCCTGCCCCCTCCATTCTTGTTCGTTCTTTGATTTTTTCTTTTTTTTTTTTTTTTGTTTTTGGATAGTCACTAAGGGCCTGTCTTCCAAAATCAGCTCTTAGCATCCTGACCCTCTTTTCCATATCTCTTGTTCCTCTCTCTTTCTGTATGCCTGTACTCTCCTTTCCCTATCCATCAGAAAACCATCCACCCCAAAGCCTACATTCCTAGTCCTTGGTATGCATTCACCCCATGCTGGATCTGGGGCTGAGAGTTTTATAAGCATTATCTCATTAAATCTCCAGAGCCACCAGATGAGGTAGAAACAGTCTCTCCTGCACAGGTGAGAACTTGGGGTAGCTGGTCCAGAGTGACACAGTGAGGAAGCAGCCCAGATTCAAACCCAGACCAGTTTCACTTGCCAGCATTTTTGAACTTTGATGCAGCGCCTCCCAACATGGCCTTTTGAGCGGCAGCTGAGTGCTCACATTTCTACAGGTGGCTCTCTTGAAGCAGCCAGGTTGATCTGTGGCTGAGAGCCGTGTTATCAGTTTGGGCTGCTTCCCTAGCAGCGAGACCTCAGGAACAAAGAGCCACACAAGGAGACAGGCGAGGTGTTTTGGCCCCTCAGCTGTTTTCACCACAGGCCTCTGGCATCTTACAAACATCTACATCAAGTAGCTCGCCATCAGCAGCACCACATCCTGTCTCACAAGTATCTTTGTTGTCACCAAAACGTCTCCATGTCCTCTGAACTTCCAGGCTCTCATGCCGAGAAGGCGTATCTGCCAATCACCAGTGTTGCTGAGGATCCTGTGCCCTGTGCTCCCTCTGCCCACCCTGCCTGGAAGACAGCAGAGCAGTCTGGGTGGCCCGAAACCCAGGGTGCAGTCCCAAGTTCCCAGAGAGGCCACACTGACTCATGCTGGTTGACCCTGAACTTGGTGCTGACCCCAGTTAACATCCAGGAAACAATGATGGCGGTGTGACAATGACAACATGCAGATTGATTTTGTATGCCTCAAACACCTCGTACAAGCACTTATCTCTCCTTTAATCTGCCATCCCAACTTTGTGAGCTATCTTACTCTTGTTATTGAACCTGTTGTACAGATGAGGAATAAGAGCAAACATTGACCAGTGATTATACAACTCCTATTTAGAGGCACCAGGAGCTCAACCCCAGTGCCACAGAATGCTAGATGGACAAGATGCCTCATTAACCTGGACCTGAATTCTTTTCTTTGTCTAATCCCTGGGGCTTTGCTCCATGAATCTGCCTATCCAAGGGCTTCCTGCACCTTGACTGCCGGAGAGTTTGTGGAGCCTGCACACCTAGTTCTCTCTCACATAAGAAACCTCCTGGGTGCACAGGCCCATTTCTCTGCCAGACAAAAAAACACTTGGTTCCACAGGGTCTCAGTCAGGGCTGCTTGCCTTCACATGCCCCTGCCCCCTCCTCCCTCCCTCCTGCTCCTTTCTTACTTTGTCAGCTGTTTTTCTCCCTGCCTTTATCTCTCTCTCTTTCTCTGACATATCATTCTTTGTATATCACCATCTTGCCCTGGGGTGCGAGTTTCTTGACAACAG